ACACACACACACGCCAGGGCCCTTGGAGGGCTAGGGCACACACACACGCACACCCCTTGGAGGGCTAGGGCGTCCTGCACACCAGGGCCCTTGGAGGGCTAGGGCGCACACACACACACACACACACACACCAGGGCCCTTGGAGGGCTAGGGCACACACACACACACACACACACACACACGCCAGGGCCCTTGGAGGGCTAGGGCACGCGCACACACACACACCCCCCTTGGAGGGCTAGGGCGTCCTGCACGCCAGGGCCCCATCCAGCTAAGAAACCAGAAGAGGAGGGGTGGCGGCGGCTCGGCTGATGTGGATGGAGCCTGACACGAGGAGCCCTCATCCGAATCGCGGCCACGTGCGTCTCTCCGGGTCTCTGGCAAAACGCAGCTTCCCGTTGCCGCTCACATGTCAGCCAAGTACCTCCACCTACTCAAATCTTAAACATAGAAACAAAGGCCTACAAAATGGTATTTTAATTTCTGTCAGAACCGAAGCCATGCTTGTCTGAATAAGTCAGTTACAGCAGCACTAGGCACTTGAAGAGAACAGTACAATCCCCAACACCTACTAGGCAATTAGCATAAACTCCACAGAAACCAGTGATCAGACTCAAAATCGTGAGAGCAGCGCCACCCAGTGGCAGGATGAGATGCGTGCGAGGAACTAGCCTCCATCCCAGAGTGGCCGGAGGTATCTCCTGTCACTCCAATCAAAGACCCCAGTAAAAGACCTCCCACCAGGGCTGGAAAATCCAAAACGGAATCTGATCCTCCTCACAGTCTAACAACTAAGCTTGGAGAAAATGTTATTTCACATTTTCTGAGTAGCCAACACCAGGTTGCCAGCTAAAATGTAGAATGTATGTTCCGTGACATACTCGAAACATACTAAAAAAGTATTCATTGGTTTGTCAAAAATTCAAATTTAACCAGGCGTCCTGTATTTTTATTTACTGAATCTGGCAACTTTAGGGTCCCTGTAGTCTGAAAGACCCCTGCCTGAGGAAGTACCCACCCCTAGAGAGCAGAGATTCGTTTATATAACCAAGTCTTTACATAACCAAGTTCACGCAAAGAAACAGTTAACACATCTGCAGCAAGCAAGCTCGCCAGCGACCCCAGCATGCTGCCCTCCGCTAGCAATGGCCAGGGAAGACACTCTGCTCCGTTTTGCAAAAAAACCAGTAAGGGAAGGGGGGAGTAGAAGGCAAAATGGGGGCCCGACGGCTGGGTTCTAAAATGGGAGCATAAAATATCACATGGGAGGAGGAGGGTAGAAAGGAGATTGGCAATTCTGGAAGAAAAGGAGGGGAAAAACTGCCTCTTGACAACTGACCCTAGTCAGGGCATTCTTCCCGGCCCACAGACGGGGCCATGTGGCGATTGCCTGGCGTCAGCGAGCAGGAGCTGGGTAAGGTAAGGCCGGGGAAAAGCAGACCTCCACCAATTATCCGCATCTAAGCAAGCCTTGCCACAGGAAGGGGTTATTTAAATGGGTTTGTGTTCCAGTGTTCTCAAACAGACAAACAAAAACACTCGTGGTCTTTTTCGGCCGACTCTAGCTGGTTTGGCTCTGCATGACTGGCAGCTTTCGGCCGCGTCCCCTTCCAGAGTGGCCACCGAGGCCGCACGCACCTTTGCAGTGAACCGCGATCGCCCCGTCCGTGTTCTCGCAGATGTTCAGGAACCTCCGCACGATGTTGTCGCTGGGCGTGCTGCCGTCGATGAAGAAGAGGTCGTAGTGCTCGAAGCCCGCGTCTGTGAAGCGCTTCGCCTCGTAAATCTTTTTGTTCAGCCTCACGACTGCCGTCACGTTGTGCTTTTTGAAATAAGGAAAGTAGGCTTCAGGGGCGTGAAGAGGATAGCCTGAAGGGAAAACGGAGCTGTGAGCAAATGGCACGCGTTTCCCTGACACGCCCAGGAACGCCAGAACGCATCACGGTCAAGTTTATGAATCTCCAGAGCTTACGAGGAAAGGGCATTTCCTGAGAGAGTAAGAAAGAGGTGGAAGCACTTTCCTAAAGCAGCAGTCTGAAGAGCCACACACACACACACACACACACACACACACACACACACACACACACACACACACACACAGGAGGGGGGGAAAAAACCTTCTCTGAGTACTGGAAATCGCTCATGAAAATCCGAAACCTCTACCCATAGGATTCAAGTCCGGAAGCATACACTCCTCCTAAGCCAAAACAAAGGCATCCGGGGGCCACTCAAAGGTCAAAGGTGCCCAGGAGGCCTGCTGGCATGATTCTTTGTGCTTTTTCTTCCACTTGACAAACTTTTTTTTTTAAGATTTTATTTATTTATTTGACAGACAGCAAGAGAGGGAACACAAGCAGGGGGAGTGGGAGAGGGAGAAGCAGGCTTCCCGCCGAGCAGGGAGCCCCATGTGGGGCCGATCCCAGGACCCTGGGATCATGACCTGAGCCGAAGGCAGACGCTTAACGACTGAGCCACCCAGGCGCCCCGACAAATACTTTTCAACTACGGTTAAAGCCCTTGTGCTGGGTGATTCGTTTCACTCTACAGTGCAATCCCCCACAAAAGAGAGGAATAATTATTAAGCACCTACCACGTCTAAGTCACCATTGTATAACATTTCTTTTAATTCTCCAAACAGCCTGTTAAGGTAAGAATAGTAAACCCCATTTAACAGATGGAGAAACTAAAAAAGTTGAATAAATTTTTGTAGACATTCTCACGGGGAGAGGCACAGGGATATAGGTGGTCAGCCCCTAAACCGCCTTCCGTTTCCAGTGGATCCAGCATCGTGTGAGTATTCCCGGGAGCTACAGAGTCAGCTGGGTTACAGACATGCGACCTAGACTCAGCCAATCAACTGAGGGGACCGGCGGCGAGGCGGGGGGGGGGGGGTTGGCCACTGCAGACCTGGCCTGCAGCCCCAGGGATTCACAGGGGACTAACTTCTCAGCACCCTGATGACCACACCTGTAACGTATGCAGGGTTCACTGACGCAGGGCATACCGGGTGAGACAGTCTCATTCAGAACTCTTTCATGATGGTGGGCCCAGAGTGTATGGGTGGCATTAGCCCGCAAAGTAAACCAGCAATTTCTTCACTGTGTCCTTGGCCGTATCTTGCACTGCCTCGGACTCTGCATATGCTGGTCATTTCCTATTTTCTCTCAGCAGCAAGCCAACCCTCCCATGATGGGGCCAGGGCCTGCAGAGGGCATTTGCAGCTGGCTCGCTGTCAGTTCAAAACATGGGAGGCACGAAGCATGACTGGAGTGACCAGAAGCTTCTGGGTGGGGGCCAGGAGGCTTCAGCCGAAGAAGATAGGAGCAACCAGAGCTCCCAGCTCAGCATCGTACTCCCAGGACCAGTCTGCGGCCCAGCCACCTGGTCTCTGCTCCTCAGCCCCCAAATGCACACACCAGCTGGTGGCATTCCCTTCAGAGCTCCCAATACCAGCCTGGCTCCACTTCCAAGCCCCCAGATTCTGGTGACCTCACTTTCTACCTTTCTAAAGGCAGGAGCTCTTTCCTCCATAATATTCTGGTTTCTTCAGTGTTGCCCTTTTCCTTTTTAGCCTTCTCTGTAACAAATCCCTTGTATTAAATTCCCTCTGTTTGAAATGGTGTGGTTTCCATTTCCCTGCCTGGACCCTGCTGAGACGTTGTCTCGCTTGGATCCTGCTCATTTTCTAGGCCTCATTCTCCAGCCTTCCCTTGGAGGCTGTGAGATCCCCAGCATCATTCCAATCAATGCTTTTTTTGGTTTAATTTACCAGAGGTGGTTCTGCTGCCTGCAAACAGAACCCTAACTGGTATCCTTGGCCAAGGTCACGCAATGGTTGGAGGCAGATCTGGAAGGCAGATCAAACTACTCCACGGCCCAGATACAAGATTCTCACAGGCCATGCTGCTTCCGGGCAAACAGGTAATACAGAGCTTATTTTCAATCTTCTGTGTAGAAACAGTAACTTGTACACACACATTTAGAAAAAATGGATGCAGTTTTCTACTTGGAAAAAACAAATCTGTTTTCCTACTTAGTTCAAATTATTTTCCAGCAACAGATTTACAGCCTAAAGGAGAAAAAGGCTGTGGTTGGTGGGGGAACAAAGGCAAGAAGGAAATGTAGATAAAATTAAGTTTCCTTATAACGTGCAGCCCACTGACAAATACTTGAGACAGTCCTCCAGGAACTCCCAACTGTCTCAGTACTTTGCTTAGAGGGAAAAACAACCTGAGTTTGACAACAGCTAGGCCTCCAGCATCCTATAAGTCTTTAGCATATGAAAATCCTCTTGGAAACTTCCTTTGTCTTTACCTCCCCCAACTCCAAAGTATCTAATCAATTGCTCCTCACCATCCCGAGACAGATCTTTCTGCCCATGGGTCCTGTCCCCATGCTATAGTAAAAATACTTTTTTGCACTGAAAACATCTCAAGAATTCTTCCTTGGCTGGTGACTTATGGACCCCACTTCAAACCATATCAGATGGCATAAGGAAACGAGCTTTTCTATCATGTAAGAATGGGAAGGAGAGTACTCATAAACACATGGGAAGTCTTCCCCTGGTGTGGCTGGTGAACACTTCCGACCCTGGGTTCCTAGCATACCTGGCACCTCTGTGATGGCACCTGTTACCAGATGTGCTAATGGTTGGTTTGGTGTCTATCCCCTCCCCTCCTCCACCAAGACGAAGAGGAGGAAGAAGTTTCTTCTTATATATTAATTTCTCTCAGGAGTAAATATATCTAAATCAACTATTAAGAGAAATTCCGAGTATGTCTGGGTTTTAAAAAAACTGGACAGTTAGTCAAATATGGAAATAGGACATTGAAATAAAAACAATAATGATAATAATCATAACTAACATTTACTAAGCACTTATTATGTGCCAGGCACTAAACAAAGTGCTTCATATGGATCATCTCATTAAACCTTGCAATTACCCAGTTATTGCTGCCTAGAAAAGTAAAGTAGCCCAGGCACACACAGCTAGTAAGAGATAGGGGCAGCATTTGAACCCTAGCAGTCAGATTCCAGGGCCTGTGCTAGGGCTGATTTCAAGTAAGATCCAACTTGACTCTGTTAGGTCCCCAAAGGAATGTTATACGAACATTAGGGGCTACACTTCCTAGAGTTCGTGAGCAGGTTTCTTTAAAATCCTCAAAACTGTTTCAAGTGAGTTATAACCAATGACAATGACAATATCCTATGACCTCTGAATAACTGTTTGTGGGTGTTATCACTGCATTTCGGACTGGTTTTAGCAGCATGCAGAGAGGACAGAACATTCAGCAGCCCCTTCCTCCATTTGGCCACTAGATGGCGCCCTGGCATCAGTAAAGCACAGGCAGAGCACAAGAGCCGACCAAACAGAATTTCAGAGCGGAGAGATTCAAAATTCCTCTCGTCCCAGGCCCTCATTTAAAGTTAGAACCCTGAAGAACAGAGTCAAATGACTAGTCCACCCAGTCATTATTAAAAGTATAGATTTGGGGTGCCTCGGTGGTTCCGTTGGTTAAGTATCTGCCTTTGGTTCAGGTCAGGATCCCAGGGTCCCACGATGGGCTCCCTGCTCAGTGCAGAGTCAGCTTCTGCCCCCCCCTTTTTCGTGCTAGCTCGCTCTTTCTCTTTCTCTAATAAATAAATAAAATCTTTTTTTTAAAAAAAGTTAAAACTTCAAAAGGGGCAGGTAGATGTAGGAAGCAGTAAAATATATTTAAGGCTCATTAATGAAAAAATGTAATCAGAATATCTGCTAATAAGCACCTATTCTGTGCCTGACACTGTGCAAGACACTTCATCTAGTATCTCTAATCATCACTAGATGTGCATTGTGCATCCTTTTTCCCCTGTTTGACCTACAAGGAAACGGATGCTCAGAGAAAGCTGCAAAGCTCTGGGAAGTTCACACAGCCAGTAAAGGGCAGAGTCAGGTTCCTCTGCCCAAGCCCTGCACACCTGCTTCTCTCATTATATGACCAAGCTGAACAGGTTTCAGATTGTTGCCATTCCCTGCCTCAGGCTGTCTTTCTTTGTGCTTTTTTCTTTTCTTTTTCTTTCTTTCTTTCTTTTCTTTTCTTTTTTTTTTTTTTTGAGAGAGGAGAAGGACGTTGCCACCTGAGAGTTTGGGGGATTTGGGGGAAAACTGGAAATCCAAAATATGTTTCATTCTATTGCTTTATTATTCATGTATCAATTCAAATTTATTTAACCAAAAAAAGGTAGGGCTCTTCTCTTCCCACCATCAAAACAATGTGAACCAAGATGAGTGTAACAAACTGTACTTGCTCTGTGTTGACACAGACACACTTAAGACTCTTACAATGCGTTCTGCCCAGATCGCAGGATTTTAGGGTTTCTTTGCCTACATCCTAACAACAGCTATTTGAGTGTTAATTTCTGTAAAAATCTACCTTTTCTATTAACAAACCCCTAACATGATTTTCAGCCTCCTCAGGAAACACAGTTTCTCAATTAAAAAAAAAAGGCAAGCAAGCACCTAGATTTCACTGTAATTGGATTAAGTTTATTAGTTCCATCACACAATTATTTTATTAAGCTCAAAAAAGATTTACAAAGTTAAAAGCTCTTTTACAAAAAATATGATGAAGCTTCTAGTGACTATTCAATCTTAAAATGGGGAGTCCAGTGAAATGTCAATATTTACTAATGACAGCCTTAAGTGAAATTGTCCTAGATATCATAAAAAACAACAAATACTAGGTAAATAGCGCTTTCAGACCTTTTTTTCCTCAATGTACGAGGGTACAATAGATGCATGGGGGAAAATGATGCATATAGAGCAGTACCTTAAGTGTTTATTTCTAGATTATGTAATTACACGTGACTTTTTCTCTATATTGCTTAAATTTTCTATAGTGAGCATGTACTTCCTCTGTAATAAGATGAAAACACAGATTTTGGAATCAGAGACCTGTGTTTGAATCCACACACTGCCACTTTCTGGCTGTGTAAATCTGGGAAAGTGAGGTAACTCCTCCGACTCTCTATCTTTTCTTCCATAAAAAAACTACTACCTCCCCGAGAGGGTGGTTCTGATTCTTGAAGAGATGATACATGTACAAAAGGCTTATCAGCCCCATTCCTGGCATATAAGCAAATGTAGCTATAATTATTTCCCAGTATTATATTATGTGGCCAAAAGGAATTTTTAAAGATTTTGGCAATTAAGAAGGTACAATCTTCCCATTAGAAAATAAGCAAGACACGGGGATGTAATATACAGCATAAGGAATGTAGTCATAATAATGTAACGACTGTGTATGATGACAGATGGTAACTAGACAATGTGGGGACCAGGTCCTGATGTAGAGAAATATCCAATCACTATATTGTACACCTAAAACTAATACAATATTGTAGGTCAACTGTTCTTCAATTTAAAAAAAAAAAAGAATTGTCACACAAAATATTCATAGCTTTTTTTTTTACATTTTTTAAAAGATTTTATTTATTTGACAGAGAGAGACATAGCAAGAGAGGGAACACAAGCAGGGGGAGTGGAAGAGGGAGAAGCAAGCTTCCCATGGAGCAGGGAGTCCGATGTGGGGCTCGATCCCAGGACCCTGGGATCATGACCTGAGCCGAAGGCAGACGCTTAACGACTGAGCCACCCAGGCGCCCCTATTCATAGCCTTTTATCCACTGACTCTACTACTTAAGAATTTAGAGAGGAAAGGAGAACTACAAAGAAATGTAGAAACATTTGCCAACCATGAAAATTGAAAAACTGTAAACAATGTAGATCTCATTCAAAAAGTAACAGCATTATGGCACAGCACTGAATAATATACAATGCAGTCATGGAAAAGTATAATGAAAATCAACATTTACTACCATGGAAAGAAGTCTGTGATATGTTAAGTGAAAAAAGCTGATATAAGACAGTAATCATGGGGCACCTGGGTGGCTCAGTCGGTTAAGCAGCCAACTCTTGATTTTGGCTCAGGTCACGATCTCAGGGTTGTGAGATCGAACCCTGCATGGGGCTGTGCGCTCAGCAGGGAGTCTGCTTGAGATTCCTTCTCTCCCTCTCCCTCTGCCCCTCCCCTCACTCACTCTCTCTCATGCTCTAAAATAAATAAATAAATCTTTCTTTTTTTAAAAGACAGTAATTGTGATGCTCTACTTATAAGAAAGAAAGATTTATTTTGTGTGTGTGTGTGTGTGTGTGTGTGTGTGTGTTGACTGGAAGAGGAAAAAAATGTGTGCAAATACAGAGAAGCAGATGAAAAGAAAATTAAAACCCCCATAATCCCACCACCAACTCCTAGCCCTAGAAAACTTGGGTAGAATTATAGGTCATTTTTACATGCTTTTTATTAATTCATCTGCATTTTGTTTTTTAATATAAGCATGTATTACCTCTCTAAAAATATCTTAAATGATTCTATAAATTACACCTCTCATCTTCTCTTGAAGAAAATGTCATAAAACACAGGAATCCAAAATGGCAAAATTCTTTCAACTTCATCAAACGAACACCTACCAACAATGCCATGACTGAAACCATGCACCTACTAAGATTTTCTGGGTCTGAGTCAGATCGCTTTGCACAGAAGGCCAAAGGTAAATTGAATCAATTCTGTCTTGAAAGACCAACTGCCAGAAAGTAGTTTCCTTAGGCACTTAACATGTTCCTCCTGACAACCCAATGTGACAGAGGTTAATCAATGTCTGGAACAAAATAGATTCATTAGCAAATTCATGAATGAGAGGATGTAATTCTGGCTTCCGTACACAGGCCTCCTATTTGGTAGCTTAACTCTCTAGACTTGCATTACCCATCACAGGGAAACCATGATTCAGACAGAGATCCCTGGAAGAGATGTCGTGGGCATGAACTGAGAAGCACATCTGTGGAAGTTCAAACAAATCGGCAAATCCGAATGTATGATTCACAATATACAATGAAACTAGCTTGTAGAATTAATACTTAGGAAGATAATGGTGATAAAAGGAGAATAAATCTAAACTCGGGGTTCCAGATTATGTTCCTTCAAAAGACTGATGTTCCAGATCTACGAACAGATAAAGAGCAAAAAAAAAAAAAAAAGAGCTATTATGTTCATAGGTGAAATTTTTTAATTTTGTGTACTCCTCCCATAAATTATTCTTAAACCTTTGGTGCCTATCATTACTTGTCTTCTAGGAATGTTGGCAGATGAAAATAAATAAATAGAAAATAAATATTAATGGGAAAACTCACATAGCTAATTATGTTTCATTCAAAAGGCTTATTCTTTGTTTTGCTTTTTTTTGTTTTCCTGAGTATGTGTGCCCCTGTCTATGCATATGCTGCAAATGAGTAATTTAATTACTGTCAGCTGGAAAGGTGTTCTCATTGTCATAATAGAAATAAATAGATCAGTGCAGTGGCAATGTTTAGGAGCCCAGCTCTGGGATGGAGAACCAGTTCCCCCTATTACTCTGGGCAAATTCCCTACTCGTAAGTTTCAGTTTCTCCCTCTGCAAAATGGAGATAAGTGTATCTATATCTCATAGAGGTGAATATTAAATGAGATAACATGGCGCTTAGATAGTAACTAGTGTGTAGCAAGTACTCAATAAATGACACCTATTGTCATCATCATCATCGTTATTGTTCCACATGATGTTCCCCAAAGAATACCTTGATGTAGCACTCTACCACCAAATAAATCTCAGAACCACTGATAGAATTCAACAGTCTGCTTAGTAGTTTGACCAGCTTGCTTCTCAGATTCTTCTTTGATAACTGGGTCAGGTAAAGTGCCTATTTATGGCAATTTAAAAATTTTCTAGTTTTTTTTTTAGATTTTTATTTTTATTTTTTTATTTTATTCATGAGCGACAGAGAGAGAGGCAGAGGCAGAGGAAGAAGCAAGGAGCCCGATGTGGGACTCAATCCCAGGATCCTGGGATCATGACCTGAGCCTAAGGCAGATGCTTAACCGACTGAGCCACCCAGGCGCCCCCCAAATTTTCTAGTTTTAAAACAGGATTATAGTTCTACCTACTAAACTATAATATTTAACACACTAATTACTACTGTTCAATTTTTTAATAAATAAATATTTTGGGGGGACTATTACCGAAAGAAAGGATTATCTTAGGAAATTAAAGAAGATGAACTGAAATAAATTTTTGGATGGTAAAGTAAAGAAAAACCTACCATTTTCAATTTTGCTTTTTGGATGTGGTCCACTAAATGCTAAAAATTTTCCTGGAACAATCCAGTTGAAGTCACCATTTTCAACTCGCTGGTAGAATTTTGTGAGAAAAGAGAAGAAAAATATTTTATAATTCTTATACAATTTAGGAAACCCTTACAAATAAAACTGCTTTTCACTCTGTTAGTACTATTGGATGTACATGAAGACAAAGTAATACAGCTTAAATAAAAACATGCATCTGATTCGCAAAATGATATTTCAATCCTCTTCAGAAAAAGCTTTACTATCTAGACTGCTTGAAAAGTTTCAAAAACTTTACTTAAAGTGGAGGTACTTTGCTTAAAATAATTTTGTCTCCTGGCTACCCTGCAATGAAATGAAATGAAAACAAACATTGCTTGTCCCCGCAATAAATAAAGGGAGAGAAGATAAAAGGAAATATAAGCACTTTCCATGAACATGGTAAACATATTTTAAAGAATGAAAAAAATTTATAAATATCAGGGTCATAATGAACACACTTCCTTTTTTTTTTTTTTCTGTTTTTATAGGTTGCTACTGTTGTCCATGCTGATTTTTCAACTGGAAAATGGAACGAGGCAGGAGTGAAGAACAGAGGATCATCAAACCCCTGAGGTACACCACAAATGAGTCAGCCAAGGTCTCTGGCAGGGGTTGCAAACCTAAACAGCTACAAAGGCCAGGTGAGAGACATAAAAAATGGCAGATGGCTCCTCAGCTCTGGCTAAAGAGTCACCCTGCAGGAAAGGCTAACTGAATGTGGCTGACCTGCTGAATGGGTTTTTATGTGAATCTCTCTATACTTGATGTTGACTATTTTAAGTTTTTAAATAAAATGAAACCAAATAAAACACACCTTTGGGCCGACTTTAATCACCAGTTGTCAACCTCTGGTCTACACTCTCTAAAGGATCCTCAGAAAAGGCTTGAAGACCAGGGAAGGGGCCCAGCATCCTCCCACTGCTCCATTATGTCCTCCATTTCCTTCCCTTCCCAATGTGCCTCTAAACCCATGGAACACTGGGGCAGGGCTGATGGTACCCAAGATTTGCAGGGAATTGGGACACATCTGTGCATGCATCATAAAATATATATGTATCACTTCTTCACATAAGCATTCTTTAGCCCACCCAAAACCCTCACCCCCACCCCACCACCAGGCCAGCTTCTAGTCTCTGTCTCCACCCTCCAGGCTCTCTAGCACTGCACAGATACCTCCACAGGTTGGGAAGGAAAGCAGTTCTCTTTACTGGGCCAAGGATATCCATTAAAAAAGCTTTCTCCTCCACCACCACATGGCACATGCCTCAAAGGTAGGAATATGTACCAAATACAGTCTGCATTCTACTGTAAGAGCTTTTAGGTATTTGTTAGATTAACTGGAGTAACACCATCAAGGAAATTAGAGCCTCTACTTTAATTAGTTATACTACTATTATCATTTCCAATTTTCATTAAAATCAAAACTTAACTGTACAATTTCTATGTTTAAAATGAGATGTTTCCTTCCAGTTATAAAAAGTTATAAATGAAACTTTACGGGACACCTTATAAATGTCTGAATTGCATTAATCTAACTATAATAAATATAATATCCCCATAATACCAGAAATAAAATCTTAGAGCTACTGAGTGTTATGATTACATATGCCAAATTATATCTCAGGCATAACTATCTATTCATAACAATTGGAATAAAGAATCTAATATATAACTCTTTATGATAATTAAACTTTTTCTTGTTCAAATAAAGCAGTTTCTAATGGTCCAATATCCCTCTAAGTAATTAATAAGCTTAAAACATTACTTAGAAATTCAAAAATAAAGGTATGTTCTAATCATCAAAAGGCTAAAGGCAATTCTTTGTGAACAGTAAAAGAAAATAGGTTTCTATGTTCACTATTTCTGTATCCTTGACCACAAGTAAGCCTAGATAAATATATTGTGCTACGTCTATTTATTTGGATTATAGACATTTAGTTAAACAGTAACCTTTTATAATCAATCATATGGAGAAGGACAGTGGACTTACTAAGATACGTTCACTCACAAAACCAAAAGAATATGTTTGCAAATCTGCCTACCCAAAAAGATAAACATTAGATAATATTGGACTATATTCAGTAGCTTGGATAAGGTTGATGGAGTAAACAATGAGATTTGGGTCTTAGATTCAAATCCGAAAAAAAATTAATAAGAAAGTTACAGCTTTCAACTGACTAATATAATATAAGCTTACTTCAGTAAGCTTCCCAAATTAATATTTGTGCCTTCTTTCAGCGAATTATACAAATATCAACATTTATCAATAATAACATATTTAAGATGACACAAATTGGTTTTCTAATGAAATACACACACTTCAAAGAAATCTAGATCAGACAGGAACTGAAGGTACTTTCCAACCCTATCATATTTTACAAACAAACATCTCAGCAAAGAGGAGGTAAGAGGGTGGTTTTACCTCTTACATTCCAAAGCCTACTGCCTACCAAGGACTATGTAGGAAAACTGCACCTGTTCTTCACTATAAGGAAATAAAATGAAAATAAAAATTTGAATTCCTGAAACTGATATACTTAAGTGTTAATACTCACTTTACTATAGGATTCTTCAGTCTACAAAAGATTCAGTCTACAACCAGATTTCTTTGAAATAGGTAATTCTGTTGGTGCATTTAAATATAATTTGGGGGGAAAAAGAAATCAAGGTTGTTTACAAAGTAAATAACAGTATTAAAACTGAAAAAAATTAAAAAGTAAATATAATTTGACTTGAAAACATAAATTTTTACAACTCCTAAGAAATACATCTTTTATACATTTTACAACTCCTAAGAAATACATCTACACCGCTAAGGCACGCCTCTGTTGTAATGGTCAGAAATACATTTTTCATGAATATATTTCATAAACGATGAAAATCGTTTGGCTTTTTACCATTGTAATAAACAGTAAAATAAGAAAGATAGACCTTGAGGTCAACAATTACAGGATTGATTCCCTTTATCAACAGATAATGTTTTCTAAGGCAACATGGACAGTGTTCAAGCACAATTCAACATTCCTTAAAACATTTGCTGAGCCTTTATTATATAGCAAGGACTATAACTTGGTGTCACACAGAATAACAAAAAGTATTTTCTCTATGTTCATAAGGAGCCTGAAAGCAAGTTCCGGGAGAACAGTAATAATAACATGCAAATAGAACAGTAATAATAATAGATGCAAATACATACATAGCACTGACTGTGTGCTAGGCACTACTCTGTTACATGTAACTCACTTCATACTTACAGCAACCCTATGAGGTGGGTGCTATTAGCGCCATCTTGTACCCATCGCTATAGACCAAATGTTTGTGTCCCCTCAAAATTCATATGTCAAAACCTAATCCCCAGTATGATGATATTTGGAGGTAGGGCCTTTGGGAGGCAGCTAAGTCATAAGGATGGAGCCCTCATGAATGGGACAAGCGTCCTTATAAAAGAGACCCCAGAGAGCACCCTTGCCCTTCTACCATGTGAAGACACGGGGAGAATATGGCCACAGATCTGCTGGTGCGTTGACCTTGGATTTCCCAGCCTCCAGAACTGTGAGAAATAATTGTTTGTTGTTTAAGCCACCCAAGGCACGGTATTTTTGTTACAGAACCCAGATTAAGACATCAATTAAAAAAAAAGTTGCATTACACTTTGAAAAGAGCTATAATAGAAGTATTTAAGAGGTTTCACGATGGCACAAGACTATTTGAAAAATCAAAAAGACAGAACTACAAAGTCTCCTTTTATTCATTAAAAAGTACCCTCCTTATATTTCCCTAACTTCTAAAACAATAAAATAGTGTTGATGGTATAGTTGTATTACATAAATGCAAATATGCTGCAGTAATTGGCACTTTATGTTCTTAAAGCAAAGTAAATATTTGAGTTATTTGGTTTAAATTAAAATGCCATGCCATCTGGCTTTAGATAATTAAACTCTAGATTATTAATTTAGATTTGCTTTTGAGAGAAGAGAGACAGTGTGGTGGAGGGAGAGGAGGGCCCCATGTGGATGACTGTTCCACCTCTGCTCGCTCCAGCTGGGGTAGGGAGACACGGGTGGTAGAAAACCCTTAGGGAACTGCTCCAGCAGCTCAGACCAATGATGCCTCTGCAGATGCAGCCGCAGGCAGCAGGAACCCAGGGCACGTGTGCAGGTGCCGCTGCTCAAGACATGGCAATTTGAGGTCACAAGCACATATACGATTGTTGAAACTTGGAAGCAGGTGCCCTCACTCGCAGAGAGTGTGTTCAGCCACAAACCCAGAGCCCTAGAGAAGGGCAGCCTTTCAGGTGGGCAAAGGAAGAGGAAGTGCTTGCAAAGGAGACTGAGAAAGATGGCCAGAGATGCAAGGAAAAGAAAAGCAAGAGACGGAACCTTAGAAGTTAGGGAAGGAAAGGGAGTGTCCAGATTTAGAGAGTGGCCACAGAACAAATCAAGTAGGAAGGAGACCAACACAACCATCTGGTTTGCTGACTCTTCTATGAGCAAGGACAGTTTCATGAGACTCACAAAGGTAAAGGCCAAACCATAACCAAATGACTGACTGACTAATAACAGCGTCAAGACTGCTCTCTTAAGAAGCTTGGAGGTAAAAGAAGGGACAGAAACCAAACAGCAATTAAAGAGGAAGAAAATCCATGGGAAATTATTAGACAAGGTAGACCTCAAAACATTTTATAGTGTTAACCAACATGATCTTTGAACCAGCAATGCGTATAGTGGATTAGGATGTGGCAACACTGGGTCCCTCCACATTAGCAGCTGCAGTGTCCAGGAAGGAGTTCTGCTTCCTTGAACTTGTAGCCTTTGGAGTGGTATAATCAGTCTTACAGGATAGCTCCAGGGAAATGCTTCTAACAGTTCTTTGAGTAGTCACATCCCTGTGGGAGGCATACCTCCACAGTTCCTCCAGCTGGTGAGGATGTGCTCACCTACCTGCATTCTGCAGCTTGCTTAACTCCAGTCCTATGGCAGGAATTTACAATAACAAGGGCAGAAATCCCCATGTTTCCAGTTCTG